ATTTCTGACAGCACATCTAGGGTTCTCGGGATCCGACATCACAGCATTAGCTAAGGATGCAGCCATGGGCCCTCTTCGATCTCTTGGAGAAAAGCTATTGGAAATGTCTATGGATGATATTCGTCCAATGCAGATGGAAGACTTTGAGGCCAGCTTGGTCAATATTAGACCAAGCGTAAGCAAACAAGGACTTCAAGAATTTGAGGATTGGGCAAAAGAGTTTGGTGAACGGGGTGGTTAAGTTTACGATGCATTTCATCTGTAATTATATATTACTTTGTGTACAAATATTTTAGCTTTTGGTTCAGCATAATTGATTTGGAGGCCTGGCATACAATAGGATCACGCGGTTGGGAGGGCAATGGAAAGGCCCCTAGTGCCTGGATGGGTTATTACTGGGAGTTGGGTCTTAAGAATTGAGAATTGAAACTCTTTACAGGATAAGAGATGGTATGATGCCGTTATTAACACAAACATACGCAATAGATATATTACATGATGTGTTCATTTTACATGTCATTTTTTCCACATGATATTTTTGATACAATCCCATCTTTACACACCTGTGCAAAAAATGCATTACACCTTGAACGCCAAATATGCACCCGTGTGCAATTTCCTTTTACACAAGCCTTACTTCCTCACCATTTACACTTTCATCCGCCTTCGCAACCTCTTCCTTTCCCCACCCCTCGACGTACCATTCACCCCCTTCAATCCCCCTTGGATCCCTATCAAATCCCCAGCGACTCCACCGCCCCTTTCTAATGTCCTTCGCCGTCAATTTACGTTCTCGTTCAGCTATTCGTTCTTCCGCAGTTGGGATCGGGGGTCGCTCAGATATAGGTTTGCCAAAGGGCGCAATGATGGAGGATACGACATGATGCACGCCTTTTGAGGTTCTCCAGCCCGGGGATATAGAGATTACGTCCCCTGTGTTAAGGGAGGAGTTAGGGTCGTGGACGAGAAGATGCTGGGTTGCATTGAATTTCTGGGTGGGGGTTAGTGAGGGGCGATGTTTTGGCTGGGGTTCTTGTGGGGGAAACAGGAGTGAGGATGGGACATATGACATATATGGCTGAGTAGATAAATGGGAGAAATACCTTTTGAAGATGCTTATTCCATACTTGTTTTCCAATTCGTACTTTTACTGTTTTTTGCATGAGGCCGCTTGATACCACTACAGCATTGATCTGCCGCGACGCATGAGCCGCAGCCTCTGCAGCGGGCTTTATTGCTCTTTGTATGGGCATTGTGAAGTGGTTATCAGACCTGCAGGTTCTTTGGCGCAAATTGGAATTGAGGGGAAGACTAATCGTAATTTGCTACATGATATTTTGAGAGCTGCCATTCAGATCCTAGACTTTTTTGAAATGTTTTTCCGTATCCGAGACCTGTTTTGCACAGCCACGGTTGTGGCGTTACCTTCCTACTGCGTAAATCAAACCCCCCACCATACAGTAAACATGACGTTTCTGCCTTACCGTACAAAAAAAAATACAAGAACGGTCTTGTCTTCTCTTTAAATTTGCCTTCTTGATAAACTATTTTACATTTTAGAAATACCTTCTTTTCAGAGTTGAGCTACGATAGTCAGTTGATGTGTTTATGTGTTTTGTGACATCATTTTCTTTGAGCTTAGAGACAAAACGTTCCTGATCGCAAACGAAAACAAAAACAAAATGTTTATGTTAAGAAATGGTATGTAAATAAATAGTCCCATCCCATCTCCACCCACCCCTCCCTTTTTAAATCTCTCTCACAAGCTTTTCAAGAGCAAGGCGCAAATCAGACATACGATTTCTTTGCTGATCAATATCTAACATCTAAAATAGTCGGCAAATTGATCTTTGGTGATACATCAAAAGAATCCTTGATCGAGCTCCCCCAAGGGCAACTTTATCTCGTTCGACCTCTATCTCCCAAAGGATATTCTGAACTCATATTTCGCGACGCAGCAGCGAAGATTAGAAGAACGGGTCAGGAATTTCAATATCAACTTGTGATTCAAAGAGCCTACGAAGAAGGCGAAGAGGAATTACTGGACGACGAGGCTGCGGAGGACGAAGACGGCACAGCAGCTTTGAGCGGCGACCGCGACGAAAAAACATTCCTTCTAGACGAAAGTTTACATTTTCGATCGGAGATTCGCGAAGGCGGTGAAAAGGTTCTTGCGTGGAGAGATCTGAGCGGTGACGCCGGTGACTTATACGAATTTGTTTGCGACGTTTCGATAGAGAATAGTCAGGTTCAATCATTTGAACTTACAGCTGTGCATTGTCAATTTGAGAGGAAGTTTAGGAGAAATTATTTGACAGCTACTGAATCGGAGTTGAGTCAATTTGCTTTCGAGGAGGAAGAACCAATTCCGCATGCTAGTCCGCCCATAAGCCCTACAACTTTGAGTCCTGTGCAATCATTTCCGGCTATCGATCAGACGTTTTCTAGAAGTACGGCAAATTCTGCGTTAAAGACAGACATGAGTCCTGTTACGAGAGGGTCAAGGGCGCCGGCCAGGAGTCCATCCCCAGTTGATGAGGGTCCAACGAAAGCGCCGGCTGTTGCTTCACACCCTGAGGCTATTTCTGTTTTGGCAGAGGAGACGGCAGAATTACATCTATTCGACTTTGTTTCTGGATCCGTTATCAAGCAGGATGATGAAGTTAAGGCGACTGTCACCGAAGTTGGGAAATGGAAATATTGGCTACAAATCACCGGCAAGGACAGAGACTGGTTGGGTCAAGCTGTTATTGCGGATATCAATCCTGTCTTTAACTTTGAATATTCCTCGTTTATCTTCAATGCTTACACAGCTGATCATCAAGCATATTCATGGCTTCTTCGATTCAAGGATCAAGAGACAATTACAAGATTCCAGGAAGGATTGATGCAAGCGTTATGGGAACAGTTGAATGAGATTAAGTGGAACAAGAGTAAGGAAGATGAGAGAGATTATGTTCTTGAGGCATTCCAGGATCTCACCATGGAGGATGCTCCGGATTTTGTTGAGGGTGAAGAAGAAGAAGAGGAACAGGAGGAGGAAGTGGAGGATCAAGATGATGGACAAAGAAGCGAACACTACGACTCTGATGAGGAAGAAGATGATGTGGTTACTCGGGACGATGATGGAAATGTCAACTCACAACTTGCGGTTGGATACAAGCATGATCGATCATTTGTTGTTAGAGGATCCAAAATTGGTGTCTTCAAACATACACCCAACAACAATCTGGAGTTTTCGACCAACATTTCGAAAGTTCAAACGCCAAATGGCAAACTATTCAGCCCAAAAAAAGTTATGCTTCATGCTGAGGATACAAATATGATTCTTCAAGATGAGCGTAATCCAAATTCACTCTACAAAATGGATTTGGAATATGGAAAGATTGTCGACGAATGGAAAGTCCATGATGATATCCCTGTCAACACTTTTGCGCCAGAAAGCAAATTTGCTCAGATGACAGGAGAGCAAACCTTCCTTGGTCTTTCACGAAATGCTCTTTACCGTATCGATCCTCGTCTTGCGGGAAATAAACTTGTCGATTCCGAACTCAAACAGTATGTTTCGAAGAACGATTTCTCGGCTGCGGCAACAACCGAAAAGGGGTACATCGCAGTCGCTAGTAACAAGGGTGACATTCGTATGTTTGATCGTCTTGGCATTAACGCTAAGACTCATATCCCAGCTCTTGGTGAACCTATCATTGGTCTCGATGTTAGTGCTGATGGTCGTTGGGTTTTGGCTACTTGTCGCACTTATCTTCTTCTCATTGATGCTCTCCAAAAAGATGGTAAAAATGAAGGCAAGCTTGGGTTTGAAAAATCATTCGGTAAAGATTCTAAGCCTCAACCTCGTCGTCTTGGTCTCACTCCAGCTCACGTTGCTCAATTTCAACACGAGACTGGTGCTGCTCTTTCATTTACACCAGCTCGCTTCAATACTGGTGAAGGTCTTTCCGAAACATCTATCATTACAGCTACTGGTCCTTTCATCGTAACCTGGAATATGAAGAAGATCTTGAGGGGTAGCAAGGACCCTTATAGTATCAAACGTTACGCTGAAGAAGTCAAGGCGGATAATTTCAAATATGGTAGTGATAAGAATGTTATTGTGGCATTACCAAATGAAGTTAACATGGTAGCAAAACAAAGCTTCAAGAAGCCAACAAGAGAAAGTATTGCAACGCCAGTTAGAGTTGGATGGAGTAATGGGAGAAGAGAGAGTGCTAGGATTGGTGGAAGAGATAGTGGAAGATATAAGTTGGGGAGAGAAGATGTGGTTAATAGTCCTTATTAAGCGATTATTGTGGGGAATTTGGTTAGGGGCGGGAGTGTTTATGTTACGTGGAGTGCGTGGAGTTTTCGAGGCATTTTGTGTTTTTTTTCTGGGAATGAGAGATTCTTTTTTATGAGCTTGCGTGCATGCTTTGCTTTATTTGGGCTTGCTTTAAAGTATTTTTGGGGGGGAGGAATTCTCAATTTGATTTTTTAAAGTGCGTGTAGTTTCATGATTCGCTGTTTGACAGACACACACACTCTATAGCGGATAGTACACACGAATTCAAGGATAGGGAAATAACAGAAGCGATATCATTCATGCATGGGTAGATGGGTATTCATACTCTATGATTGATCATACTATGAGAAAAGAGAGATATGATGATGTGGGTATGTGTAGCTGCATTTGGCATTTTCGAGAGATGGGGA